GCGTCATGCCTTCGCGCATACCGAACACGAATACATGAACCTGAGAGGCCATATCGATCGGCTTAGACACGATGCACGACGCGAGGTGTCGTGTCTTCTGGACGTAGTCGCACATAGTCATCGTGCCTTGCCGAAGGGCGAAGAAGTCTGCCCGAATTCGGGATTCATCTTGCGGCGGCTCGAACGCGAGCCGAAGGTCACTCTGGAGTGTATCCAGAGTGGGGAAGACGTTGGGATCGACAACCAACTTGCCGAGCGCCCATTCCTTGGCTTTCCCAGACAACCGCGAGAGGAGGAAATGGACCTTCGCGGAAGGCGCCTCGATCAACCTCGAGGCGATGGCGATGTAGATCTCTCGAAACCAGCGATTCAGCGGAAGTCGATCTTCTCCGGCACCGGCGTAGGTGGACGTCTCTAACTTCACGACGTCATTCGTGGAGATACGCGACGGAGTTGACACTCGCCGATTCGCATCGGCGAGCTCGCGTTCCATGAATTCTTGTGCCGCAACGCGCTGCTCGTCGGGTGTCGCTGAGCGCAGCAGCGACGTGACAACGGCTTCTCCGGACACCGCCGCGAGGCGGTGGAGAGCTTCCCACTTGATCCGAGTGAGATGGAGAAAGGCAGCGTGGTCGAGGTCTTGGCTCATGTCGAACTTGGTCGTTGGAAGGACTACAAAGTGCTACCAGGTGTAACGGGCCAGGTATTTACTCCGTTACTTGCTTACACTATAGTGTTGAGGAAGCTCGCAATAGGACGACTGAGTCTTAGGTTTAGGGAAAATCACCCTGACTTTATTTTAGGACCAAGGCCACAGCCCTGGCCACTCAAATACACGTCATAGTCCAATTGGCTAATAATGGGTCTGGCTCCCCATATATCAGCCAATGGCATGACAGCAGTTCAGCACACGCTAGTCGTGTGCTGATGCACCTACTTTTGTAAAAAAAATCTACCTACTTATGTAATGGAGGGGCCCATTACAACTGGGGTAACAAAGAGGGAGGGTGCCGAGGTAAGTGTCTGGGGTCGAGGCAAAATTGCCGAATGAGCCTAAAGACCGACCGTCGGTACCTGGACCTCCAGTTCCGTCTCTTCCGAAATTCCTGTGATAATGGCGTGTTGGGTGCAAGAGAGACGCTTGGAAGGGGCGAGGAATCGGTGTTCTCCTTTCCCAGCAACAGGGCTTGACTGATGGATAGCGACTAAGACTGATGGGAGTCGAACAGCTTCGAGAAGGTCCACCTCGGGTGTACTCAGTTTCTTTTTGCCGAGTGTTCTCTCCACTAAATGGAACCTCACGCTAGCGTTTTCTACGAGTACGCCCGCTGGGAGCTGTGGTCTGTGTATGTAGGCGCCGTAACGGTCTGGGTCCTAACGCCCCCTCTGCGCAACGTTACCTGGAAGTTCTTGATCCAAGCGTGGCGTGTGGTCAAGATGAACTGCGATATTTGGGGCGACTGTGCGTCGTTGTACCGGGACGTGCTTCAAGCAAGCGAACTTCGACAACTCCGAGGTGCTACCTACGCGTATGGAATATGGAGTGCGCTATTCGCTGTGCCTCCTATCGATCTGCTCAAAGGAGAAGAGAAGTATGGTCGCTATGAACGGATGTTGCGGAGTTGTAGATCGCCGGCAAAGTGACCTTCTCCGACTACATCCCGGAAGTCCTCCTCCGTACAAGAGACTCGAACATACGCTATTGGTACGCTTTCTGGGACGCTCTCAAGGCCACCTGGATGCGCCTGTACGCTGTGGGAGAAGCCACCTGCTGGATGGTACTACCATGCCTTTCCCTGCTGCTATGCATCCCAGTCAATATATTTGATCTGATGGAAGGCGTACTCCTGGGACCTGTGGGTGTTGGGGCTGTACTGTTGTTCCTACTGGCTTCCAACTACTGCCTCGCGTGGACCGGCTGGAGTCTTGCCGACACTCTTATCGTGGTGGTCGCCGGTGTGGTATCCCACGCTTGTCGTCAATACGACGAGGAAAGCCCTCTCCCCCTAAAGTACTAGTTGAACTAGCTTTGACAAGTACTCGCCCAAACGCTTCCAAGCGTAGTATGGCCGAAGCTCGGAACATCGAATGTCTACGGGTCGACGACGACATCGAGGTGTTATATGACTTTCAGGTCGCCGACCCTGACTACATTGAGGACTGCTCCGAGGACTACCCTGAAGCGTTCCAGCCTCACCTACCAGTCAAAGTTACTAACGACGGAGTCAATTTGGCTAACGTGAGGGATGTAAGCAGAGGATCCGTTCGCCGAGGACGGCAAACGACAAGTCGGGGAGGTTGTCCCGTACCCGGGAACGGAGGGGTCATTCCAGGAGCTCTGCCTCCCGACGGGATGACTTGAGGCCCTGTAATCACTCCTCGTCCGGCCGTCCCGTCAGGATGGTTCCCGTTGAACCCAACAACGCACGTGCCCCTGACCGAGCCCGTTAGGGTGGTCCTATAAGGTGATCTCAGAACGCCGGTGTCCTGGCGTCGTGGGACCAAAGCACCTCGCGTCATCAAGTGTAACGGGGTACAATCCAGTGTGCCCCATGTTACATAAAGAGTGACCCGTCACTCTTGTGGACACCTGGTACACGGTACCAGGTGCTCTCGGAGCCAGTCAGTGCATGACTACTTAGCTCCACTATAGGTAACCTCTAGTTTGTATGAGACCCAAGCTTATCTTACTTATAAATACATCAGTCCTAAATCTACTCCTCTAAGTAGCAAACCGTTCCCACTGAGGCCGGCAACACGTCGACTTACGCTCACTCGGGTAATTTTTACCCTTAAGCACTTCCTCTGTGCAAGGTGCTGTGTGACCCCGTCACATCAAGCCCCCTCCCAGAGCTCCCCGTTGTCTCATGAGGACTGACGAAAAACGAAGTGAATTCTTCATTTTAGTATAAGAAGTAGTGTAGTGTATGTAAGGTCGAGAAGGTGTTAGACCTTTCTTCCAGTTAGCTCTCAGTCTCATATTTCCCTCCTTCTACTCAAGAGGAAGCCAAGCCAATACAGTAAACGCTCTCCATTCCGGTACTGCTGTAACCTTATAGCCTGACCCAAATGATCGTATCGTTTTAAAGAGGGAGAAGATCGGGAACTATTCCACACCAGCCATCGCACAGTTGCGGTGCACCAGTCATTCTGTAACCTCGGGCATCAGCAGCATAGTTGCCACTGACCAGGCATGAGGAGGTGGCTCACAATTATACAGAAGAAGGCCATGATCAAGAAGGCCAAGGAGAGCCCAGCGATGACACAAGAGGAACTAGCAGCGTGGGCGAAAGTAACGTTAAAATTAAATTGGACACCAGCCCAGACGACGGTCTCCGACATCTTGAAGAAGGCTGACACGATCCGGTCTGATGACAGCGACGGCAACAGGTGCAGGCCCCTGCGCGTGACGTCGCCAGCTCTGGAAAACCAGCTTTGGGAGTGGATTCAGACAGTCGAAGCTCAAGGCGTGTGCCTCTCACGTGCGCTGATTAAGCTGAAGGCTCGCGATGTCCAGAAGGACCTGTGTGACGCGTGGGAGATGGCGTTCTCCGACGGCTGGATCACCGCATTCGAGCGGCGGCATGGGCTGCGTAGTCGGCAGCGACCTAACGAAGCTGGCTCAGCCGATCCTGTAGCTGTTGCGGCTGGGCGCCAACGACTGCAAGCAATAACAGATCTCTACAGTCCCCAAGATATTTACAACATGGATGAAACCGGATTGTGCTACGCGATGGCCCCTGTCCGCTCAATCTGCACTAAGTCCGCCCGTGGAGTGAAGAAGGACAAGACGCGGATTACGCTCGCGCTGACAGCAAACACTGACGGCACGAACTTGCTGCCTCCGCAGTTTCTGGGACGGGCGACGAAGCCTTATTGCTTTCAAAAGAAATTCGCAGAGAAGTTGGGTTTTTACTATCGGGCGAGCGAGAAGGCGTAGATGAATGGTCAAGTGTTTCGTGAGTGGCTCAGAGGTCTCGATCGAGATATGCGGGCCAGTGGTCGCTTCATTTTGTTGCTCTTAGATAACGCCTCATCCCACAACACTGGCAATCTGGTCTGTACTAATGTTCGGGTAGAATTTTTGCCACCTAACACTACTGCCTTTTTACAGCCGATGGACGCTGGAATCATCGCGGCGTTCAAGGTTGCGTACCGACAGAAACAGCTTGAGTGGGTCTACAACAAGATAAATCACGGTGATAAAATTGACAAAAAGGCGTACAAGGCTGACCAGCTTACGACAATGCAGTGGAGCAAGGCTATTTGGCTTGACCTGCGGGAGAAGCAGACAGTCCCGAACTGCTTTCGCCATACAGGTATTCTGTATAACGCAGTCGATGATAGGAGCAAGGACAGTATATCTTCCAGCTACGACGACCTCAAAGATGCAGAGAATATTATAATCTGCGCTTCCCAGATAAGTCTGTAGACTCCTTAAAACAATTCCAAATCTGGAGATAGGGTCGGACCACGATACCGGAATGGAGAGCGTTTGCTATAAACAAACTTCTATTACAACTTACAAGTGTTCCTATCTACCGTTCCTGCAGCCACTAAACAAGACCGTACACCCTGAACAGCCGCGGACTACCCGACACCCTTGAAGGAAAAGGAGGTATACGACAGGGCTCAATTGAAGGAGGGCACTCGTTATTTTGCCCGACTGAGGTAACATAGCATCGCCTTTTATACGTGTACAAATAGTATAGTACAATTAAATTGAAGTTAAGGTAGGAAGGACACTAGCGCGTTTGCACTCGTCTGCGGACTTATAGCCGTGGGCCCACCCCGGCCTCTAAGTCCTCGACTCGGCAAGGCGCTGTGTCTGGGATTATTCCGAACGAGTGTTGCCAAGACCGTCGGCTAAGTCCATTTTATGCATGTTGGGGGTATAATTGTATACTCGGTTAGCCAGTTGGGCAAAATACTCACTGGAGAGGCGTTCCTTTTTTTGACGCAGAGCATTTACGCAGATACTCTTTATATACTTATCCAATCTAAACTTCTTGTTTTAATGTTGCCAATTCATCAGCGTCGTCAAGATCGGCCATGCTACGGTGTAGAGGAACTTGCAGCGACAAGAACAGGAAAGCAAGCACCTGTAGACTTACCGCAATCAGAGAGAGCGCTGCTACATCATAGAACCGATTGGCGTAGTCCATACCAAGTGTCTTGAGATAGACCTCGCCATAGACGGGCACGGCTGGATAACCGGGGGCATCGAACTTCAAAATCAAACCCTTCAACTCGTTGGTCATCAGGATCTCAAACGCGTAGCTGAAGATGGACAGGTGTTTCAGCCAGCCCACGGAGGATGGCATGGTTTGAGAGTTGAGCAGGAAGCCACCAAAGAGCAACATCACGAGCAGAATGACTGTCGCACCGAGATTTGCGACCCCAACGCGTCTTGATAAAACACCCACGAGGAGGCACGTTGCACCAGCCGCCACGTTAAACAGCACCAGCGTCAGAGAGAACAACAAGAAGCGATCTGTAGAGGCTTGCAGTCCCATGATCCAGTAGAAAATACTCGCAAACAAAGATGCCGGCAATATCCGCAACAACAGCGTGTCCAGTGTGGCCTTAGCGAGAAAGTAGCTGAGCGCCCCGTAGTACATGGCACCTGTTTCACGTAGAAAAATCTGACGTTCACCGATGAATAAATCCATAGAGCTCATACTCGCAAAGCCAAAGAACGTGAGAATGAAATAGAACGCGCCCATTCGATTCTGGAATCCTGCGAGGTCGTTGGTCACGTGGTTGAAGATGAGCCCGCCGAAGAGAGCAAGTGACAGACTCAGTGCAATATGCAGCACAAGCAAGGACCGGTGGCGAAGAATATTCTGCGCTGTGCGAGCAAAGAGCACGCGAATTTCAACGAGCATCGATCGGGCCGGCGTCTTGATGTCACCAACGATTTCATCCGTGTCGGTCTCAGCCTTGAGCACTGGCGGTGGTGGACTGCGCGGTGTACCAGGCATCGCTGGTATTCCCCGCGTGCTTGGCTCCCTTGGGATTCCAGCTCCAACAGGTGACACTAGCATGTTATCTAGCCGCGGCGTGTCAAGCGACGCATCCGCTTTCATGAATGGTGACGACTCTGCCCTCGGCGGTGGGCTGCCGATCGTAAAGCGCGGGGAGATATTCCGTGAAGAACGAGGGAACGAGCGCACTGCTGATGGCATAGAGACCGGAGAAGGCTCCCGTTTCATGCGAGACCGGATCATTGGGATGTTGTTCGAGTCGGACGCAATGTCAAGAATGAAGTCCGCAATATTTTCATGCTACAGTCACAACACAGTACAACACACCACAGTATTAGCGTTGCTGCTTTTTAGGTACATGTAGGTGTCCTGCAACAGGTTCAGTACATACCTCGGGACACTTAAAGCCCAGCTCTTCAAAATAGTTCTTGGACTCAGCAGGCTTGCCACTGTACAGCAGCTTACCCTTACCGAGAAGCATAATCTTGTTAAGTAGCAGGAAGGAACGTGCGCTAGGCTGATGGATACTCAGCACCACAATGCGTCCGTGACCTGCCAGATCCGTCACGAGTTGCACAACCGAATGGGCCGAAGAGCTGTCTAGTCCAGACGTGGGTTCGTCAAGAATGAGAATCTGAGGCGACGTTACGAGTTCCATCCCGATGCTCACACGTCTTCTCTCACCCCCAGATACACCTCGTCTGCTACTGTTTCCCCCCACCGAGCCAATGCTCGAGTTGGCCACGTGCGTGAGATTGAGCTCTGCAATTACCCGATTCACCATCGCATTCTTCACTGAATCCGACAGCGTTGGAGGAAGTCGAAGCTGCGCCGAGTATGAGATACATTCGCGCACAGTAAGAGTCGAGTAGAGCGAATCATCCTGCTGGACATAAGCAGCGATGCGGCGATACCCCTTCGACAGACGTTTGCCATCAAGCAGCAACTCGCCAGCAAAGTCAGATCGTCCATTTTCTACCGCCGCAAGGGCATTCAGTAACGTCGTCTTGCCCGATCCACTGGGTCCCAACAAACCCAGCACTTCGCCTCGTGACACACGGCCAGAAATGTTGTGGAGAATACGCTTCGGCTCACTTGAAGACTTGGAAGACTCCGCATCGCCGTCCACGTAGCAGCTGACGTGATGAAACTCGAGCATATTAACTGATCGCGACGTAAATTTTAGGATTTCCGTCTCCACGTCTTCCTTCTGAATGCTCGCAGTTAAGCAGCACGAGCAGAGACACCCACACAGCAGCAACGTCGCTGCCAGTGCTGCACACGCCACAATAGCAGCCCAAAGTCCACTGGTGGTGCCGGAATCGGCACCAGAGCTTCCACTCCCCGACGCGCTACTTCCGCCGCTTCCAGTGCGTTCACATGCTGAAGCTGTGCACGTAGCAGACAACGGAATGGGTGAGCCTTCAATGACAATGGCTAGTTGCGTCTTGTTGGTCACTTCAATCTTGGCTGGTTTGCCACTCAACGCGCTCTCCACCAACGCCTTGGTCATGGTTGAACATTGGGGTCCGCACTTGCAGTCGATCTGTGAACACTCGCCGTTGGCGTCGCCCGTGGTGAATGCGCACCGTGTGATGTTGCAGTCAATGACGTGCACACTTTGTACTGTCTCCTTGGCTTTGAACACAGCGGCCGTGCAGTTAGCCACGCCCTTTGTGTCGCGGTCGCAGCGTACGTCCAGTGCCCCGTCCGGGAAGAGCGCCTGCAGATCCGTGGACAGCGTACAGCCGTACGTCTTGAGGGTAGCGTGTGCGTCGTAGTTAAGTCCTGTGACGCACGAATAGTCAGACCCGAAAGTGGCACTGCAGATATCAGAGCCCGACGTGGAGGCCAACGCGCCGCTGGGTATACACATGCGGCAGCCGAATCCACTAAAGCCTTCGCGGCAGTCACATTGGCCTGTGGTGGCGTTGCGCCTCTCGTAGTGCGGGTCACAGGGAGCTCTGACGGTGGAGAGCGAGGAGGAAGACGCAAAGGGAATGACGTAGGCTGCTGGCAAGCCCAGTGCCAGCAACAACGGCGAGCTTCGCATGGAGAAATTGAGAATGGTATTGGGCTACATCAGAAGAGCGCTCATAAAAAAGGCCGATCAGATTTGGGAAGATACAAATGAAAGTTTGGGCCAACGGGAAGCGACTATAGTTCTTTTTTCGGCCACTCACAGCGTGGTGCACAGCAAGCGAAAAATAAAGGACTGGTCGGACCTTGAAGATGCCAGCTCCAACTTGGAGTCCAAGTGGCTGCGTTCCTGCCACTCCTCGTATTCCCTGACTCGAGCTTCGCAGCTATTCGCAACGTGGGCCGTGATGACATCACTGATGTACGTGGGTGCCAGGTACATACGGACGCTGCGGAAATGCTGGCACAGACAGATGATGCGAAGAGGACCACAAGCAGCTCAAGGCCACTTTCCAACTCTCTTACTGCGTGGGGTGAGGTGGTCGCGCATTAAACGAGGATAATTTTGATGAGCTCACTCGCTCGCCGACATAATTTCACGAACAAGGACTGAGGTTAACGCTGTTGGTGAACCGCAGACGATTGTTGAGCTACCAGATCCAAGTGACTGGCTTGTGGAATACGTGCTCCAGGAACTTCACCCGCTGAAGACCAGAGTTAACCGAAAATGACTTTATACGGGCAGCTAAAATGCCGATTGGAGCAAACATAGTCGCTTGGCCACAACTTTTCTAGCCAGTTGCACCCACTAACAACATGATGGCTTCGCAACTGGAAAAACCATCGGACCATAACCAGCGAACCTACGTTGAAGTGCACTGCACACACCGCGAGAACCCGGCACTGATAAAACAACAATCCTCGGCCGTAGACAAATGCGGCACCCACAAGGCAAGTTCCACTACTGAAGCTCTTTCTCTCGCGTACTCGACCGACAAAATACTAATGGCTCTGGGAACAATCGGAGCTTTGGGCTCTGGCATCGAGCGTCCCTTGACGAACCTTCTGTCTGGCAAAATTTATTAACGCGCTTGGCTCGACCACTGGAGAAGGCTCAAACAGAGTCGCTCGCAATTTCGCTATGTGGGCACGGTAGAGCTCTTAGTGGGCTATCTGCAGGTACAGGCCTTCCGAATAATACATTGCAGTGAGAATAATATGTCAATATTTAGATCGAATAATTTATTTTTCAGTTGTGATAAAACCTTTCAGTAAGGTATTTCAAGTATCGTCATAAATTATTTGTAGCCCATGCTTCACAAAACTACTCTATCCCAGCTAAGCAAAACGGAGAACCAACCACAATTGACCATGCCTTTGACAGCCCCTTCACCAACCAGCAATGTATCTTGGAAGTAATAATGTGATATTGCTCTTATCAAAACGATAACGAATTTGCCAATGTCAAATGGTTCCCTGCAAGTACTGATTTCACAAAAAAGCATTGCAGTTATATAATCGGAAGGCCTGTGCAGGTATACTGCTGGTCCCTTACGGCGTCGCGACAGTCCAAGCGCATCCGAATCCTCTTCGCCAACTCCATTTTCACTAAGGAGATCTCCTGGTTCGACGTCAATAATTCAATGCAGTTGTCGTCACGTGTGGGCGGCGCTACCACGACATAGAATCCAAGATGAGCTACCTTCTGCACTTCTCAGCAACGGTAGTGTCTGGCATCGTCATCACTTTTGTCAAGGGCTGGGAGCTGACGCTGAATCTGATGGCTGCGGTCCCATTCGTCGCCGGCATACTAGCGATTGTCGCTGCAACCCACCAAGGAATGCAAGCGTATCATAGGAGTCGATCAGCAACATTGGCACGGTGCTCATGTTCAAGTGACGTTACTGGACTCCAGTAATTCCAGTCTGGAGTCCAATCAACCAAGCTCAAGCTCGGCAACCGACACACCAAGCCTCGTCAGGTTCATATTTAGGTTAGGGCGTCCATGAGTGATGGTCGCTCCTCGGTTGCTCCAAGTGGTGACCATGACGATGAAGGAAGTAGTCGTTTCAACGCTTAGTTGCAGGGACAGAAAGTCCAGAAAGGGGAAAGCTGCTTACTCTTGATGGCGCAAGCTGTCGAGTGGGCCATAGCGCACAAAAAAACCGGTAATATATTCGTAGGATTAGCAGTAGGATAGGGCTGAATAATCCGTCTAAGTCCGGCTTCTGGACGCGAGCATCGCGTCCTGGAGGCACCTGGGCCTCAGGTTGGAGCTGGACGCAGCCCTGGCTCTTCCTCCACAGTTGACACTCCCACTTGATCTTGTCGAAGCTCAGCTTCAACATGATCACATTTTAGAGCTCACCACGATGTCCTTGGCGTCCCCTAGCTGCTCTGCAGCACGACGCTTCGTCCTTGGCAGCGCTCTTCCTCCTTCTTGTCATTCGCATACGTGAACTGATAGTAGTAACTGCATTCACGCACGGCGATGATGTTTGGCTTCCACTGAACGAGCTAACCCTTGCTAACGGTCGATACGCAGCACCTTCATACCATGTTCGACTTGTCCTTCGGCTTCGTCATCGCGTCGGCGATCATGTCGTCGGTGCCAACATGGCGAATCCGTAACTGCTCGTCCTCCACGAGGTGGCACACCAAGTAGAACTTGCTAATAGTGTGCTTGCTTTTGCTGTGCTTGCCAGGCTTAGCAGTCAGATAGATGCACGACTTGTTATCGCCGAGAATCTCCGGAGTCGCAAACTCCCAGCATAGTTCTTCACAGAGTCCACGTCCACCGTAGATCTCTAGTACCTTCATTCATAGCAAAATACTCTGCTTCCGCTGTGCTCTGTGCGTTGATCTATTGCTTTCTTGACCCGTACAAAACCACGTTACCATTGACAAACGTCATGAACCCGATAACACTCTTTTGGTCATCAGTATCATTAGCGTAGTCAGCATAGGTGTATCACGTCAGCTTGACGTCGTTCCCAGTAACAATGTCCATCACTAAGCCGTGGTCTTGAGTACCACTCTGGTAGCGTAGTGTGGTGTAGTGATTTCTCCGTAGTTGCGGAATATACCCCGTCGACAAAGACGTGACATCGCCCAAGATGTTCAAGCGACGAACCTTCGGTCATGTGATGTACAGTGACGCCAAAGGTGCAAGGGGACTCGACGGTGTCACTACCGAACTTTCAACGGATATTTGATACGGTCCATATGCCACTGAATCCAGGCTGTCCTTATTATTAAAAATGGACTGGCCGGATTCGCATTCAGCGGCCAAGAACTGATCATCTACTGTAACGGGGTTACATGGTGTGGAACACACAGGGGTACGAAGTACCCGGAGAGTTAACAAACTCTCAGTACATAAGTTGGAGAGTTAACAAGGTCTCTCAGTACGTTGGCTGAAAGCCACACGTTATGCATTTGATTAGGTTTAACTATGCTAGATAGTTAAAGAGATACATTTACCCCTAGGCGGCTTGGCCGCAATAATAGTAAATAAAACGCTTCTGGTTTTGAAGCATAAAAGTTAAGGTGTTAACTTTGAGCCCTGGTCTTGGGCTGTAAGTGTCCTTTGGATAAGGAACTTAGTATCAGTGACTCTTTGAGTCGAACGTCTTCCTCTGACGCTAAAGCTACGGCAGCCCCGCTGCACTTGGTAGCACTTGTAGTCAATCCCGCTCCTGAGTCGGTTGACTATATCCTCTGCGAGGATGGAACACCCCGTGTTCGCGAATTTGCCCCCGGCGCAGCAGGACGCGCTTACTAAGCTTATGTCCTTGCTTGGCCCGGAGGGCGTGGCTCATCTTGCATCGCAAGGTCCAGAGGCGGTCACTGCCAGGCTGGAATCGTTCTCCCGCTACGAGAGCGCGCTCTTGGAGCATGTCCAAGAGAAGATGAGCGCCGCAACGGCGGCGGCGTCGATGACGCGTGAAGAGTCTATGAGACTGAAACCGCTCATGGTGAGCGTAAAAATCTTCGAGGGGAAGGATGGAGAGAATCTCCTTCTCTGGACCCGTGAGGTCGAGATGGCCATGGGATCGGCCCTGCTCCAGTCTGAGCATCAGCGCGTGGCGCTGGCTATCTCCAGGCTTGGAGGTCGCGCTCGCGAATGGGCACTAACGTGCGGCACGTCTGTTGACGCTGCATTTCCCACTTGGAATCAGCTGAAGCAACAGCTTTCGCGCGTGTTCGCGCCGCCTAATCAGGCGTACCGTGTCCGGTCAAAGTTTCTTGCTACCCGCCAGGGTAAGAAGGATTTATTGGACTATGTCCAAGAGTTGAGAACTCTTATCGCCGGAATGGCGGCGGACCCTCTTCCGGAACTGGTCAGCGTGACCGTGTTCATGGAGGGACTTCGTGTGAGCGCAGCTCGAACGGAAGTGTTCCGTGTACACCCTAACTCTTTTGAAGAGGCGGTGGATGTGGCATTGAATGCCGAGCACAACTTCAGGTCGGCGCGACCTGGTTGGAGCGCTGGTAGCGCAAGCTCTTCGAGCGGTCCAGAGCCGATGGACCTCAGCTATGCTGAAGATGAAGAAGCGGAGCTTCTTGCTGCGGAGCAGCGCGCCGGCATCCGCAGATGCTTTGTGTGCAATAGCACTAAGCACTTGAGGGCCTATTGCCCTCTGCGCAAGAAGCGCGAGGCTCCGGCGAGCCAACCCTCCAGGTCATCGCCGGGAAACGGCAACTCCCAGTAGGCGCGGGGCGGCCTACTGGGGAAGAACTGAGTTCTGTTGTGCCTCGAAGAGGTAGAGGGCAACGGGGCTCAGCCCCGAAGAGAGCTGGTCTCTCTTACGAGAAGAGTGTGTGCAAGCCGGGCTTGCTGGTCGTTCAAGCGAACGTGAAGGGATTTGCAAAGCCATGGAGAGTCTTGATTGACTCGGGAGCCTCGGGCAGCTACGCCCGTCGCTCCACCCTGGAAGGGAGTCAGCTGTATGCTGAGGCACTGGAAGTGCCAACGAGAGATACGATCTCTGTCCGTCTCGCGACGGGGACACTGGTAACTGTGTCGAAGGTCTCTGTCGACCTTGGAGTGAAGTTTGAGAACTTCGATAGCGTGGAACGCTGTTTGGTCTTAGACCTGGATGCGAGGTATGACCTCATCCTTGGCATGGCATGGCTGGAACGTCATGAGCCATGGATCGACTGGAAGTCGAAAACGCTGGGTGCGTCGCACCCTGCTCCTAGTGGAGCTTTGGTGAGTCATGAACCCACCTCTGCTAGGAAGCAGAAGCGCTTTTGGCGCGAGCACGAGGCCGAGGCGGCCGTAGTGCTGGACATTGGTATGTCCGAAATTGTTAGCAACGAGGTTACTGTTTGCCCTGAGGGCGTACGTGGTGCGGCACGTTATCCGCGGAGCGGTGCAGGTCAGGTCAATGACCAACTGCTGGGTCCTGGTGAGGACGAGCGCGGAGTGGCGCGTAATCCACTGAGTGGTATGAATCTGGTCGATGACCTACCGCTGCGTGACCCGAGGATCGCGGTCGACTGCGAGTCGAGGCATCATGGGCGTGGCCCAGGAGATGCAGGTGAAGTGACACCTAGTTCACTGTGTGAAGGTCAAGAACCTCTTGGCTTTCAGCCGAGTGTCTTGCGAGACACTGTATCCTCTTCGAGGAGTGATGGTGCTGCTGCACCCGGTGGTGGTGACGGCGATGTCGCCACACCGCCCTCATCCGGCCGGGCTCGGTCGCGGAGGGAGAGGAGAAGAAGACGCAGGGCGTCTGTGACGTCTTCGACGTCGGACGATGCGTCCAACGTGACGAGCGGTGATGCTCCACGTGATTGCTGTGAACAGCTGTATACACTCGTGAACGGAGTGACGGGGGAGGTAGAAGGCGATATCAGCCTTGATACTCTGCCCGCTGCAGATGCTCTGCTAGAGCTGGACGAGATGTCCATTGCCGAGTTCGGCGAAGCCTTAAAGGCAGGCGAGCTAGCCGAGGTGGTCTTGCTGGGACCTGAGGAGGAGTTGAACTCCTCATCCGTCGTGGACGACGCGGTCCTAGAGGAAACCAAGAAGGCGCTGAGCGCAAGAAGTGGATCGGCGATCCTCAAAGATCCTTCGGATCCCTTCTACCCGGTGGTGAAGGAGTATGGAGACGTTGTCTCAAAAGACCCACCGACGGGCCTGCCTCCGGATCGAGGCGTGTGTCATGAGATTGACCTGGTTCCTGGAACCAAAAACTGCGTAACAAGGCAATGGCCTTTGCCGAGAGAGCAGTGTGACGTCATTGACGCATTCTTCCGTGCGAAGCACGAGGCAGGGATGGTGCGTGAGAGTAAGTCTCCGCACTCGACACCCACGTTCTGTGTCAGAAAGCCGAACGGCAAGTGGCGCATTGTTCATGCTTTTAACAAGCTAAATGCGGTCACTATCCCGGCGCAAACGCCAATTCCTCGCAAGGATGTTCTGCAGAACAACATGGTAGGCTGTACGTTGTACAGCGCGCTCGACTTGGTCGATGGCTACTACCAATTGCTCATGAGAGCGAGCGACATTCCGCTGACAGCGGTGAGTACTCCGAGCGGTATGCTCTGGGAGTGGCTGGTGATGCCCCAGGGGCTGTCGAACGCACCAGCAACGTTCAATCGTCTTGTGACGCAGTTGTTTAGGCCCCACCGGGCGTACGCTCAAACGTACTTTGACGATATATTCGTCCATAGT